CTTACTGTCTCTACCCTCCTCTGCTGGTGAACACATGAACACACAGTTCCCTTATGACAATATCCCTTGGCCAGCTAAAAGCTGGAAATCGGGGCTTTGGTCACGGTTGACCAGCAGTCCCCTTGGGCTTGATCTAGAAGCATAGTCGTGGAAGCCAGTAAGTGGACAGAACTGTATTTCCCCTCTAAGTGTACATTGAATCCCCTATGACTGGCACCTGTGCACGTGACCTATTTGTATTTAAAGTCTTTGAAGATGAATTGATTAAGATGAGGTCATCTTGGCTTAGAGTAGATCCAAATCCAGTGGCCGGAGTCTTTATAAAATTGGACACAGCACATACAGGGAAGAACACCATGTGAAGACAGAGGCAGAAATTGGAGTGATATAGCTGTACACCAAGGAATGCCAAGAACCGCTGGCAGTCATGGGCGGCTGGGGGAAAGACGTGGAGCAGGTTTTCCTCAGAGTCTTCAGAAGCAGCCACGTCTGCCAACACCTTCATTTTGGACTTCTGACCCCCAGAACGCTGAGAGGACACCCTTTGGTTCTGTGCTGCAACCACCCTAGGACGACAGTCTGGTCCGTGGGTGTTAAGTGCTCCTCGTTTGACAGGAGTGGTGCTGGGATAAGGTGTGCACTTTGCACCCTCTATCTCTGCACTGAATATTATTGGCACCCCTGTTTCACAGATGAGAAAACTGAGGCTTAGAACAGTGAAGTGAATTTCCCAAGGGTGCACAGCTAGTAGGTGGTGGAACTTGCACACTTACCAGCTGTGTCAGTTAGAGTTTGCTACAGAAACAGGTCTAATATGTGTGGTATAAAAAGCATTTACAAGCAGGCTTTAAATGGCTGCCTGCGGAGTCAGAGTGGAAGGATGCAAAATGGCTGCCCAGAGGATCCAGCCAGAAGTTGAAGGTCTGGAGCTCACTGCAGAGGCTCTGCATTGGAAGGCTGAAGGGTCTGTGCTGTAGCCTGAAGGAAGCGGAGTGTCCAAAGGTGAGGGAGAGCCAGAGGGCCTCTGAAGAAGCGAAGGGAAGACTTCCTTCTCCTTTCCCTTTTTGCTTCATCCAGGCTATAAGCCTGTAGGTCAGTGCCATCCACACCACGTCTGCAGTGGGTGTTCCGCAGGTTTCAGCCTACGTGTCAGCCCTCCACAGGTAGACACACCGGAACGTGCCCCACTATCTGCTAGCTGTTTCTTCATCCATCCAGGTCTGCATCACAGTCCTCTGTCACACAGGTCTTCTGACGCCTAGGTCCATGCCCTAAGCCGTGCAGGGCACCACCCCACAGGCAGAGGCCGAGATTCCCAGGCGCACTTCAGCGGTGGGCTTTGCCGGTAAAGTTCATCTCAACAGACTTTCTAGCCAGGGACTCCTGGCTACTTCTCCCTGCTGTATTTGCTGTCAGTGCAATTTCTCACTTCTCTCCCAGAAGATCCTTGGGTGACAGATGTGGCTGGGAATTTGATAAGAACATCCCTTCAACACATCCTTCCAATCTGTCTGGAATCCTCACCCTGGAGATGGAGGGACAGCTGAATAAACAGCCCACGCCCTCTGTGCTGGTATTAAAAGTTTCCGGGAGCTCTGAAAGCACATGAGGCAATTAAATGAAAGATAATTTCCACTTACAGGAACATTGTAGAATGTGGCCGCCGCCATTGCTAGTGTGATGGTCCTGGTTTTTTTGTTTGCTTTCCCGTGTAAACGTAAGTGCCTACAATGTGCCAGGCATGTGATTAGATTTTTTTTTAAATGCTAAGCAAATAACAGTGTAGGGGGCAGGAAAATGTGGAAAGGGCACATGATGACTGATATTTAGAAAGGCCTATATTAAAGTAAGTGACACCGGTGCAGAGCAGTCCAGGTGCACAGAAGAGGGAGTAGCCAAGTTTTTCTAAGTGGATCGTCAGGTTTACAGACGGAGGTAGTGTCTGGCTGGGCTGATGCTCAGGTTTTCCAGGCAGGAGAGGAGTGTGGAAGGGCTGTGCTGGCCGTGGGAATAGACTGTTCAGAGGCAAAGCAGGAACAGGGCATGGTCACTTGGTTGCCATGCGGCTTTCAGCAGTCCCGTAGCATGGTCTGAGCTGCAGTTTTAGAAAATGTCCTTGGTCAGATCAGGTATTCTCTCCGAGCCTTAATTTGTTTACCTGCCCAATGGGCATAACTGAAATGGATGTAGAATGGTTACCTTTGGTCCTGGGAGAAGTTCCCAGCCATCTCTTATGTTTCTCTTCCACGCAGAGGGCTAAGGTATCTTACTATGGCCGAATCTGCATTTGTGGCATCCAAGAACGCTCCTGCCTGCTCTTACTGGGGGAGCAGGGGCGGCACAAGCGCTCAGGATTCTTGGATGGTGACCTGACCGATGGCCAGAGATCAGGGAGGGGCTCCCCCGTGGGGAGCAGCTCAGGGCTGAGCCCCTCCTGCTGTGCTCCGGACTCCTCCGCTGAAGGCGCCTCCTCCTCCCGTCTCCGGTCGTCACCTCTCTGCTTCTTCCGTACCTGCACAACCCCCAGCCTTCTCTGGGTTCTGAGAGCAGAAAACCCCCCCTCTCAATCTGCCTCTTCACAGCCTCGGCCAGGGGCTTGCTTCAGGCAGCGTTTCTGCCCTGGCAAGGGCTGGGGCGGGGGAAACAGCCCTTGGGCGGGGGGAGCAGAGGGAGGGAAGAAACTGAAGACACACACTTTAACTCTGGGAGCTGCCTTCTCGCTGGAGTTGGTGGCTCTGCTGGGGGACGGGGTCAGTACTCCGCTCAGACGAGCAGCCTTTGTGTTTGATTGTGGCACTGGGGGAGACAGACAGAAAAGTCTGACTGCTGCGGATGTGTGCGCCAGAGGCCCTTTTAAACACTCCCGCACCCCTGCGTCTGCTTGGCCCCTGTGGCTGTGATAAGAAAGCAGGCGGTGGGTCCTTCGGGAACCGGTGAGCTCAGCCTGCATGCTTCGGCACGTGACTGGGGGAGGCCAGAAACTTCCGAGCACAAATCCGCTTGGACTTTCACAAGAGCGAGGTGGGGTGTGCTGAGCTCCTTGCCTCTCGGCCCAGTCCCAACCTCACTTCCTCCGAACCCCGGGTCTCTGTTGCATCCTCTGGTCCCCAAGCCAAGTCAAGGCTGAGAGCTTTGTTTCCTTAACCTGAACTCTTTGAGGTTTTTTCTGGATCTCAAGCGGAGCGTTAGAGGTAGAACTTTATTTTTTAATTAATTAAGTTTGTTGGTCCATGTTAGGTGTACATAACGATCACATTTGTCATAGGGAATTTATACCTGTACGTGATATAAATTGATTCCTTCTTTCTCTCCCATTCGCCTGCCCTCCCTCCAACCCTTCTACCCCTCATTTACAAAAGCTTTGTCCCTATTTTTTCCTTCTTTTTTCATTTTTTTCTTTCCCCTTCTTCCTCTCCCCCTCGCCCTCCCTAAGTCTCCTTCCCATTCAAACATTTTCTTCCTGTTTCACAGCATCTCTTATATATTTTGGTCCTATTTAACCTTTTAGTTCCTCACACCAGAGAAACAATGTGGTATTTACATGTTTGTCTAACTATGGTCACAAGAGTATGTTCTCAAGTTGCATCCATTTACTTAGAAATGTCTCAAGTTGATCCTTCTTTATGACTGAGTAGTACTCCATTGTATAAAAAAAAACCCACATCTTTATCCATTTATCAGTCCATGATGATGGACATTTGGGCCGTTTCCGAGATTTAGCTATTTCCAGCTGTGCTGCTATAAACAAGGTGCGCATATATCACTGTGGCATGATGCTTCTAGTTCTTTCAGGGAGACAGCAAGAAAGGGACTAGCTGGATTGAATGGAACCTCTAGTCCTAGTTTTCTGAGGACGCTCCACACTGATTTGCACAGTGGTTGCGCAAGTCTAAACTCCCACCAGCAGGAACTTCAGTCCCATAGACGTATTCAAATCCTGGCCCTGTCTTAGCTAAACTGTGATGTAGCAGGTTACTTACCTTCCTGTGCCTCAGTTTCCTGTAAAATAGGACTCATAGTGGTATCTACTTCCTAGGCTCTTGTGCAAAAATAAATGCGGATTAATGAGTGAAACCCAGGAATCATTTAGTGCATTTCATGGGTGATGAAAAATACAGTGGTGATTAACGTTATTACTTGCAAAAGATCCAACACAGTGTGTGCTGTAAATATTTCACCCTTGCTGTTCCTTCCTTCAGGAAGCCTCCTGGAGCTCCCAGGCCTCTCCATAGGGTGGTCCTGCCGTGGGGTTCCAAAAAGCTTCCTGAGAATCGGACCTGCTGGATGTAATTCCCCTGGCACATTCAATGCCAGTGATAATGATGCAGAGTTGTACCGGTTAGCTGACTCTGTGAGCTGACTCTGTGAGCTGTACCGGTTAGCTGACTCTGATTGTGGCCACAGCTAGCAGAAGGAAGCCCCAAGACAACAGAGAAGCTGTTGAAATATTACAGTCATCACCCTGTAATTAATTGTCCAAAGCCTTTCTTCCTCTCTGGAGTTCAGGGTCAGGGAATGTGTCCGCTCGTTCTCTTGCTGCCTCCCCAGGGCTTAGCAGGCTCTTAAAGAACATTGCGTAATTGGATAAACACAGGAACAAGCGTCCCAAATGCAGTGTTACCGGACATTCCCTCATTGCCGCTTTCAGGAACCCTTTGTTGAATATCCACTCCAGGCCAGGTACTGTTGTAGGCTCTGGGATTATGCCATCGAGCGTAACAGGCCAAGACACTTGTCTTCCTGGGGCTGTCATTCCGCCGTACTGGCTGGGCATTGACACATACCCCAAAGGAATCAATACTCAGTCGCCTTTCCTGGACGCTTCCTCTTTTGATTAGGCTCAGCCGTGCAAAGCATGAGGTTAGTGCAAAGTGTCGTCCGCTATCTCAAAGTGAGCAGAGGGCAGCTCTGCACAGCTGGGTGCCAGTTTCAGTGGGCACCAGGTGCCCGCAGCTGTTCGGCCCCCGGGCCCCTTCTAACGCCCTCGCTGTCTTCTCCAGGTGATGCTGTCGGAGCGAAAGGGCACAGACGAGCTCTATGCCGTGAAGATCCTGAAGAAGGACGTGGTGATCCAGGACGACGACGTGGAGTGCACCATGGTGGAGAAGCGGGTGCTGGCCCTGCCGGGGAAGCCGCCGTTCCTGACCCAGCTGCACTCCTGCTTCCAGACCATGGTAACTTGTCCGGGGGCCCTGGACAGCTGCTCCTGGGCTTCCCCTAGGCTTTGGCCGAGGCTATACCAGCAGCACCCATCCGATAGGATAGCTGGGCCCTTCTCATTTTAGAAACAGAAAGATGCTGGGCTGAGGGGAGTCAGCTGAGAATTCCCAAGGTTGCCACTGAGAAGCACCGTGCCCTGAGGCACACAGTGTCCCAGCTCAGATAAAGGAACTCAAGCAATTGGTTTTATAATCAACAGAGCGGAGCCCTTCTCTAACAGCAAGGGGTGACTCAGGGACAGGAACTCCGTGGAAAGGTCCACAGACTGCCTCTAGAGAGTCACAGTCCTTCCTCCAGACCCCTTGGAAAGATGCCTCAGCACAGCTCTGCAGGATGCCCGAGGTCTTGCCGGGCCTCCTTGGAGATAGGTTGCTGCAAGAACGGCCTCAGGAGGACAGCTGCGGCTGGGCACAGTGTCCTAGGCGCGAGCCACTGAGCTTAGAGCCAGGGCTGCCAAGATGAGAAGGAAACATCCGTGTACTGTCTGCCGTTGCCTGTGGCCCCAGCTCTGTCTGTAAAGCAAGGGGGATCCTGCTGGGTAAATCCTCACTCTGGTCTGGTTCACATTAGTCCTCGGCCTGTGTAGCTGAGGAGGAAAGGGACAGAGTCCAGGTGCAAAGTGGTGCAAAGTTAGTTCTTGCAGCTGTGGCTTCTAAAGGCTGCTTAGCCTAACGCTTTGAGGGATTCTTCAAGGTTACTCTAAACTCTCAGCAGTTCTCAGTTTACTGATTTTAGAGCCCACTTTCTATGTGAGATGGGTTGCGACTGTGTTTTGCATCTAATTTGATGTGTCTTGTAAGTGCTTAGTGACCCCCTAATCCCTTCCATCTTTTTCTTTTATCTGTTCCTTTACCCGCTGAGGGTCCTGGGCTGTTTGGTCTGTAGCATTATCACACTCTGGGCTTTGCTGTGTACACTTGCGGCACCTCAACGTGCTTCCTGTCTCCTCTGTATTTCCTGACCACGGGCAGCCGGATCTAGAGCTTGCTCCAGCTCAGCTTGGATCCCTTTGGCAGGACCTTGGGTGGTGGATGTGTTCTTCCATCCCAAGGCACAGAACCTCTAGTCGTCTCTCTTCCCGACATTGCAGCAGTTGGCACCAGTACCTGGGCCTGTTAACTTGCTCAGTACTATAAGATTGTTCTGTCTTTACTTGCTCGCTGGAATGCTTTATAAAGAGGGGCTTCCTCGTGTTGGTTCCCTAGTGCCCAGATCATATGGGAAAGGAAAATAAATGCTTGATTCTTCCCCTCTACTTAACAGTTTTCAAGGTGATGAATTGGTTCGCTATCGGGCTCTAACAGGGACTAGCGTTTGCTTTTAAAATAAAATACTTCGAATACAAGAAGTGTCAATGTAAAGAAAAATATCAAGTAAACGTTAACTTAGATGACGTGACGAAATCAGGGAAAGAAGGGGATGTAAATCTCCGGCTTTACCTTTGGGAATTAAGTTATTCTCCTGCTAATCTAAAATCTCTAGCTTTACCTTGGGAAATGAAGACCTGAAGGTGTTCAGGTGGTAACAGAGACAGGACTTACACCTCTGGGATTTACACCTCAAGACCAGGGATGGGGAACCTTCCAGAGCTTTCACTGATACAGACAGCCACTGCGGCACGTGTGCTGCAGGCTTGCCCCCGGGACCCTCCCACTCTGCACTGTCGCCTTGTCCGTGGGTGGGTGGTGCCCACATTGGCTCCGGGCACCACCAGATGAAGGACAGTCTCAACCTGCTAAATGTACTAAGGGGAAAACCTCCTTCTGAAGGAAGACGCTGAGCAAACCTGGAGCAGTAGTTTTAATTTCAGTTGATTATCTTGAGATTCAGAGCAATTAGTCACTTGTGACTAATATTCATTACAGTTTAGCCTGTTCACTGCTGATTGACTATCTTGATAATGACAACATAGAGTGGATTTGAGGTTATTCTTTAGAGCTGAGCTAGCTCACTCGTGTGTATTTCAGCGTGCTTTCTGACGTTAGAGAGTAGGAGCTGGAATTACTTGGAAATTGTGCAGAACTCTGGGTGTCACCTCAAGGAGCTATCAGCTGCCAGGAAGGAGAGACGAACAGCCAGGAGAGTCCAGCGTGCAAGAGCTCGGTCTGGTAGTGCCCTGCCTGGGGATGAAGGCCCCATGTTGGAGACCCATGCGCAGTCTCCCAGTCCAGCAAGGCCAGGGCGGGAGCAACTTGCGTTCTCTGAGGAACAGATGACGTGGCTGTAGGGACTGCACTGCTTGGGAGGGAATCCTTGAGGAGATGCACTCAGGGTAAGCGAGAGGCCCAGGGGGCGAAGTGAGGCTGGCTGAGGGAGGAGCAGAGAGCCCGTCCATCTCACCTGAATCCTGCACATAATAAGCTCATGGAGTGAAATGCCCCAATTTAAATTATATTTTTCTCACTTTTTTTTGGCTAAGCACACGGATTTCAATTTTGCATGAATTAAATTGTTTTTAAGACTTACAATAATATCTACTCTATGTGAGGCACAGAGCTAGCAATTTTAAGGTGCGCAGCAACTCATGGAGCTCAGCAGCATCCCCAGTTTGTAGACGAGGGAGCTGCGGCCACATAGCTGGTACATGTCGGGGTCAGGATTTGAACCCAGGCAACCCACCTCCAAGGGGCCTTGCACTTACCCACTACACTGTACGGCGTCTCGAGTGCAGATCACCCGTCCAGGAGCCCACCTGACACCCCAGGGACAGAATCCCCACCAGCCACCCTGTTTGTTGTCTCCACCAGGAGCTTGGGCCCTCGCCCAGCCTTGTTCACCCCTTACCTGCTCAGTACGTCACACAGTGCCTCCATCCCTTGATTTCTCCGTCTCTGCAGTAGAACTGCTTCCATCGGAGCATTTGCCACATAAGGATCTTCCAGAATGTTTTATTCTAGCTACCCAAAAATCTTCCATGGAACGGATTACCTGTCATTCCACTTGACAGGCAAAAGGGTTAAGGACTGAGTGTGCATGGTAAGTTTTCCCTACACACAACACCAGGTCACTGGTCCGTTGAACTCAGAGCCACCCTTTGGTTAGTACGTTGTATTGGCTAATACCTTGATGGTGTAATGTCCTAAACAAGAACCAAAAGCATCAGTGAACAGCAGCGAGCACCCCAGTGTGTGCTGCTCTCCATGCTCAGCCCTTATGTGCATTATCTCGCAGTACCCTCCCAAAACCTCTGTGGGAGAGGTACTGTTACTAATCCCAGTTTACATTTAGACTAGTGACATAACTTGTGCAATGCCAAACAGTTGGTCAGATAACTGGAAGGGGAATAGTGAGGTCGAATGGAATTTCTAGTTTTAGTTTTTTGAGGAGTCTCCATACTGAGTCTCATAGTGGTTGTTTAATTCCCACCAGCATTGTAGGTGTCGTCTTCTCCCACAGCCTCACCAACATTTGTTATTGATGAAAGCTGTTCTTTCTTGAGTAGAAGGCTATATTGGTGGTGTTTTAATTTGCACTTCAGTAATTGCCAGTGATGTTGAACATTTTTGATGTACTTATGGGCCATGTGTACTTCTGAGAAGTGTATTGCCCATTTTTGATTGTCTTTTATTGGGGGGGGGTCTAATTTTTTGAGTTCTTTATATATTCTAGATACTTGTCTTCTGAGAAATAGCTGCCAGAATTCTTTCCCATTCTGTAGGTTGTCTCTGCAATTTACTGTTTGTTTCCTTTACTGTGCGGAAGCTTCTAGTGAAAAACCTCATATTACAGTGACACAGACCCGTGTTAATAGCAGCACAATTCATTTTAGATAAATCTTGGCAGCAGCTTATATGTCCATCAACAGAAGAATGGATGAAGACAATGTAGTATTTATACATAAGGAAGTAGTATTGTGCCACAAAAAAGGATAAACTTGAGTCGTTTGTGGACAAATGGATGCCCCTGGAAACTGTAAAGTTAAGTGAAGTAAAACAGACACAGAAGCTGAAATATTGCATGATTTCTTCTATCTGAGGAAGCCAAAATATAATTAATGAGCACATAAAAGATAAATAATAGGAAGTAGGGAGATAGATCTTTTAAAGATGGGAAAAGGATCAAGAAATGGGGGGAGGAGGAAAGGAATGAAAAACAACTGAGATTCGCCATATACGCGTACCCTCCCAGGAGGAATGTGAGTCCTACAAATACGTGCTCATAATAAATAACAGGTTTTCGAAAGACATACCAGTAGTCAGTAGTGGTGCTGGCATTTGTTCTCGAAGACTCCAGAACCCTAGAGTGGGAAACCCCGTATCTCTGGCTTATAAAATCTTCTCCCCTTCATGATCACTACTAATCTTCACTAGAACACTGAGAAAGTGTTACTTCCTATATCCCTGTCCAAAGGAAGCCAATTTCCACAGAGATAACAGTGTCTCGGGTTACCTGATTGGTGAGTGGGGATCCCATAATGTGAGCAAGGGTTTCCTAATTGCCTTCTGGATGTTCTTTCTCCTGTGAAAGAGTCTCTCTCCTAGTCTGCGTGCATATTGCAAAAATCAGATGAGGTTTTCTCCAGAAGAGTGATAAAGTTTAGGAAGCATGTGTACAAACAAGGGTTGCTGAAAGAGGCAGTGTTTTTACATATTAAAGTTTTATTGTAGTAAAAAGACATTGCCATTAATTTTCCTCAAAATACTCCCTATTCTTGCCACTTTCTGAAGCCGTTCTGAAAGTCCTTTTTTAAGTATCTTTATATAAGCGTAATCAAAAATACTATGCCTGCGGCTACCCCATACCGTTCAGTGGAAAGGCAGGGTCTTAGAAAGATTACAGTCCTCATCCCCCTTACTCAAGGGATCTGGAACCATGTGACTTCCGGCTCTGCCCCAAAGTCAAAATAATCATGAAACATCAGTATTTTGTATTATTCCTGGACAATTAGACTCAAAAGAGGACTTCCAGTGCTCCTTCAGAAAGTGACAAGAATGATCGGATAACTGTGCTTGAA